ACTTGTATAGCATGTGTAAGTTTACTATGGTATTTTTAAAAAGAGTGTATAGTAGCTTACCTGTTTTGTAACTACCCTAAAACCTCAAACTTAACCTTTAAAAATCGGGAATGCCATAGATTTGTAGCTGATGTTCACATTAATTTGTATTCAGAAAACAATTCACGATAGGGTCCGTCCCATGCGGTTAATATCCTGTTATTTGACCTAGAGTAGCATTCACTGTTGCAGATGACCAGGAGCCTATTCAGCGTTGTACACACGGCATGAAAATTCCTGATCCTGAAATTGCAGGCCTCCCTGCTTCAGCTTTGTGACAGGAGTCTTACAGATGAAGGGTCAATACTAAGGAACCAGTTGTACAAATCTGAATTCACCTCAGTCTCCTGCCAGTAGCTGTTTTCAAATGATTAAGTCCCGTCTTGTTGCTAGACCATAAGGCTGAGGCTGTAGTAAGGGGAGAAAGATATTAATTTGCCTTACGGTCTTAACAGTGCTCAAGACTCTGTTAAGCTGGTTTTAATATGGCATCTCAGCCTTCCTCAGCGCCCCTGCAGGAATACCGTCGTCCCTTTCTAGGCAGGTGGGACTGGCATCGAGGGTGATAAACGGGCAAGCTGGTGTTTGCAGGCTGCTCTTGTTGAGGTCTTCCAAGCATGGGGAACGTGTGGTTTTGCAGAATTTGTGGGCTTTTCTTTGAACATGCTGGACACAGGCCTGATCATATTAGATCCAGGTAAAACTTTGCTATTGCTTCCAGAGGAACAGGGACTGCTGTTTGTGGTCAGACTTGTAGCTTACTCATTCCTGTTAGTTACGCTGTAATTTATTGTTAGAGCTACAGAGGAGGTCTGTTGGACATGCCTTTTTAAAGTCCAACTTTCTGTGACGTTTCAGATGCTTCACCTTACTTTTAGTTATTGCAATCTACAAGACCTTCTACAATACTTACGCAACAAAAGTCGTGTCAGGTATTTGAGGTGTTAACCTCGGGTGTATCTGCAGTGTGGCTTTCAATATTGTTTGTTTTTCTTCAACTATTACTCTGTCTCAGATGATTTGAAATACAAGGATTATAATACAATATCCTGGCTGCACAGGATGGCTGCACATAACACGGAACAGGAGGGGCAAGAAGTCCTGCAATTAGAGATAATATGCAGTCACTGGCTGTGGGAAGTCTTGTCCTAACCCCAAACAGGCTTCAGACTTCAGCTTTGCCACGTGAAATGCTGCCACGCATGCCCCATCTCCTGGTCTGTGTGGAGAGCCTGTGACTTCTTGAACATTTCCACACAGCAGTCCTGATGAGCATGGCTTTTACCCACCGATTCAGAGGTGGCTTTGTCGGTTTTGTAGCTGGTATTGCAGTTAGAGAGCAAATGTGAAAAACAGCTTCAAAAGACCGACTTGGAGTAAGTACTGCTCAGAGTTTGTATTTAATCTTTAGTTGTTGGTTTCTGTGGGAGTTACCAAACCAGTTGAGCTACAGCACTGGCATGAAGCCAAATGAAAAATACAGTTTTCTTCACTGTAAACATGACTGTCAAGCAGTAATGTTTTTCTCAGCTTCATTTTAAAGGCATTATAATGGAAGAAAATGAAACTAAAACACGTTTTTATGCCAGTATTATACATGGAAGAATGTTATTTCTTTTTTCTTTTAATGAAAAACTCTTAGAGAATGGAACATACAAAATTATGTCTTAATAAATACATAATCAGTTATCTGTGTTGCTAGATACTTGATGGAGTTGGTAAACCAATACATTTCTTATTCTGGTGTAGTTACAGTGAGAATGCATTTTCTTTGCCTCTGCAAACATGAAAGATATGTAGAGTTCTTTATTTTTAGTCCTGTTTTGATAACAGAAAAAAAATAGTGCCTGATAAAACTTAATGAATAATAACAGCAAACACTAATCTCTATCCACTCCTCCAGGCTTATTTTTAAACTCTCTTTTCAGTGGCCAGTAGCTCTGTTAACTCATCATAAGGTATTCTGCTGAACTTGGCCATACTTGCTTTGCTTTTGGGATTTATTTTGTTGAAAAATGTGTAAGTTCAGCTTTGCTTTTCTAAGATAAATGCAAACTGTATTTAATGCTCACAGTGATTTCACCAGGACGTCATCACGTAGGTGCCACTATACCAAATGGGGAACAGCAGCATTTTCACTTACTTTTCAGAATTAAATTTATCAGAGTTGTCTGCTTTGCCTGTAACTCCCTCCGTTTTATTTTGCAGAGTGAGGAAAAAGCCTGTTTAACAAAATGTCTGATCAGCTGCTGCTTTGTAAAATGGCTTTTTGGGTACTAGGAACGGAAATTGCATCTTGAAGAATGGATGTCAGCATCCGTGTAACTTGGTGCACCGGAGGATGAAAAATCCTTCAGTTGTGCTTCATTGTTTGAATGAGCTTTTTTAAGAGTTTCATAATAGAAAAGTAAGAAAGAGGATTGGAAGGGACTTCTATAAGGGTCTTCTCATCTGTTCTGTCTCTTGAGACAGAATCAGCTGCAGTGAAACCTTTCCTGACAGATACTTGTCTCGCCTCTTCCTTATAACCTCAAATGACAGCGATTCCTGTGTTTCCCTATGTAATCTGTGCTAACGCTTCAGGTAATTAGGAAGTTTTTGTTAAGTGTATGTGGATAGTTGAACAACAGAACTTTAAACTAAGTTTTATTAGGACCGGCACATTTTTATTTGCATATCTAATCCTTTTATTAAAAAATTGAACCCACCTCAATTGGTATGGATGTTTGCAGGCATAGAGAAATTACGAAATTGTTGGAAGCAGACAGACATGCTGTGGGTGAATTAATGAAATGGTGTCCAGATCGCTAAAGAAAAAATGATGAAAGTTACACAAAGATCTCTGAAGTTCTGTGTAGATCTCCTGAGCGATGCTGGTGCTGAAATCAGCCAGGAAGATCCGTCTTTTGTTGTGTGATGGAAATAACACCAAACTGACGTTCAGATTTTGCACTTACTGCTCAGTGCAATACGTGCTGCAGTAGTAATGAATTGTATTCAGGTTTTGAAGGTGATAGTCAAGGAGCGGCTGTTTGGCTGGGCACCTTCGAGATCTTGTGTATGAGTGGTAACATCGCTGTTTTCTATAGCAATGTCCCATGTTTACCCTAACAAATAAGCTTTTCTTTTGGATCTTGGGATGAGCCAGCTCCTTAGAGTTCAAGCTACTGTCCCAGCAAGGAAGTGTTGGAAACAACAGGCTATTGTTGCACTTGGGCGTGCATTGTCCTGGACCCTGGGCGTCTGTATCCTGCCTCGCAGGCACTACGAGCTCAGTCACAGCCACTGGTTCTGGGCAGGCAGCCCCAATTTCAAGGAAACAGCAAAACACTAATGGCTGCTGTCGCCAGCAATGGTCTCGGGGCAACAGCAGCTCTGCTGTTGAGGAGGGTTTTCTTAAAACGTGGGTTTTAAGGAGTTTGTAGAAGAGTAATGAGGTAGTTTTGTGGATCTTTGTGGGGAGTTTTCTGCACTGTAATAAGAGGATTAGGAAGAAGCACATAGAGCAAGCTTTGAAAACTTCCCTGGAGGCAGTGGCATGGCATGCTGAGCTGGAGTGGAAGTGAACATTTCGATAATGGAGAAGAGAGGAGGGGTGAGATGGAGGGTGGCCAGAAAGGATCTTGAAACTGCAGAAAAGGCGCTATATTTAAGGAAAGATAGGGAGGGGAATTGATGACGGGGAAAAAACTCGAGGAGATAGACTTGGGACAGGGCACGGACTAAGAGGGGTGTTTGCAGTGGTATTCTAAGTAGGAGTAAGGTAGACTTGTATTTACTCATGCCAGTAAAAGGGATGTTCCAATAATTGAGAGAGACGGGAAGATAAAAGTCCAGACGAGGGTTTTAGCTGTGTACAGATAGATAAGAAAGACTATATTTGAGAGAAGTTACGCTGAAAGAGCTGCGAACATTTAAATTTAGTTCATTATTTATTGATTTTAAAGATTATTTTAGTTACGTTTTCCTATTGCAAAAAGGGGGGTGATGGGCTTTTAGTTTGTTTTTTTTGTGTGTGGTTTTTTAACTTAATTGTCTTGCTTTTTATTTCCCATTCTTTCCTCACGCTAGAAGATGATTTTGCGGGACAGGAGCAGGGCTTTCTGCCTGCTTATGTATCTGTGCTTCACAGGGCAAAGTTGGGAATGCAACCCACAGAGAATGGCTGGCATCTCTGCAAAGAGTGGAAGCACACTAGTGTTGCTGTATTCTAAGAATACTTAGTAAAGAAAAGTAGGGAGGGTAGCATTAAAGAAAAAAAGAAAAGGAAAATAAAAGGGAAGGCAAATCATTAGAGAAATGTTGATAGCAGTGAGAAAGGTGTTACATGAGGCTCAGTGTTTTTTCTTTAGGTAAATAGTTTTAGCGTTATTTGAGAACTACTCAAGAGAAGGGGACGAAGATCTTATGGAAGTATCAAAGCAGCAAAAGCAAAGGGATTTGACTAGCTTAGGCTGTTCAAAATGGATTGATGGCATTTCAAGTTGAGGCACGGCCAGGGTGGGCGCTAGGACTCAGAAGCTTAGGAGGGCTCCACGTCTGCTAATTTTAGGCATTGCCAGGGAGATTTCTTTTGAGGACCAAATTCAATGGAGAACATGAATTGCAGACTTGTAGGTGATAAGTGATTAATTTAAGCTACAAACCAAACTTCTGAAATGTTTAATTGGCACCGACCACAGTAACTAGGATGTTTATGCATGTCTGTATGGAGACAGATACTGGACATTCTGTCACTTACAAAAACATCCAGTAAAGCAATGAAAATGAGCTTAACATGTGCCTTTTGGTCCTTCTTCCCGCATAATGATGCTGCAGACAGTGAGGTATTTCTTAAGGTCCTGCACCTGGTTCACTTGAGAACTTTGAGATGATACTTCTGCTTCCATTTTCTATAAGGCCAAGGTTACACCAGCTTTCTGTACTGACTTGGTTCTCGTGCTGCTCATCTTCACAGCCCGGAAGTCCAAAAAGTTGGGGAAATTGAAAGGGATGCACGAGGAGCAGCCACAGCAGCGGCAGCAGCCACCACCCCAGAGCCCTGAAGAAGGGACGACGTACATCGCACCCGTGACCGAGCCCCCTGTAAACACAGCACTTGTCCCCCACATGTCTGCTATCTCACCAGCACTTACTCCCTCTCCTGTTAAGATCCTTGAAAGCATTGAACCGGAGATCGTATACGCAGGATACGACAATTCGAAGCCAGACACAGCGGAGCACCTGCTTTCCACCTTAAACCGCCTGGCTGGCAAGCAGATGATTCAGGTGGTGAAGTGGGCAAAGATACTTCCAGGTAGGACCACGAGACATTTGGTGAATGGTGTTTCTTTTAGCTTAATGAACTATTTGCTTGACAAACTGCATCTTTAATCTGTGGGCTGTGTTGAAAATCCTCACAGGGGGGTGTGAGATGAACATCTGAGAGAAGATTGTTGGGTTTTTTTTATTTTATGTAACATTTGTTTCATATGTCTGTGATCGATATTTAAAAAGCTTTCACTTTGAATAATAGCCTCTTAAGAAGAAAACATGTTTTGTCACTGGAATGAAAAACTACAATTTTGTTTTTTCAGAAGTATACTTTGTGGGAGTGTTGCTCTTGTGCGTTAATACTGGAAAAATAATGAGCAATATATTCAGTGCTGGTTTGGCCAACCCTTGTAGAGCGCAATGTAGTTCATGGGTATTTTCTGGTTTGATCTCTAGGATTTAGAAACTTGCCTCTCGAGGACCAAATTACTTTAATTCAGTATTCATGGATGTGTCTGTCATCGTTTGCCTTGAGTTGGAGATCGTACAAACATACAAACAGCCAGTTCCTCTATTTTGCTCCAGACTTGATCTTCGATGAGTAAGTATTCCTTAATCGTCCTTTTCGGTGCAGGCTGGAAGGATTACTCTGTCTTTATTTGGTCTTCAGGCATACCTGCAGTCTAAGAAAATTTCAGCTAATTCCGTCTTAAAAGGTAGCAAGGTAGCTTTTTTTTTTTTTTTTTCAGTGACTCAGTTTTCAATTGTCAGAGCTTTGATACTGCCATCCGCTTCTCCTTATGTATGTGGATGTGTTCTCAAACTAGGACCATCCTGCTGGCTTGAAATATGAGTGATACATGACCAAGTTTTATAGGAAAAATCATTTTTTCGGTATCTCCTGGAGCTTGGAAAAATATCTAACTTCTAGGAAATGTGAATGTTTAAATTGCCAGTTTTTTTCAAAGCAGTCATATAATGGTGCTTTTGTTAACAATATACAGCTGTTCAATGTGTTTTCTTGACAGTCTTAATTACCCTTCTTTGCAACCATGAAAAAAGCCAAAATGTTTTTTCAGTAATGAAACACAACTTCTTTTATGATGCATTCAGACAAAAAGAAGGATCAACCAAGGAACCATTCCTTCTGAGTGTGTGTGTTCCTTCATATTTTAACTTTGTGTTTTAGTGCTTTGCTTTTGATGAGTATAATTTAATTTCTGTTTCATTCGCCTAGTGTTTATTCCAAGACAGTAAAGTCAAAATTTAAGCGAATAAACAGGCAGTCAAACTGGGGTCATGTCATATCCTTATCCCAGAAGGTATTTTTTTTTTTCTAGAGGTAAAAATGAGGCATAATCAATAGGATATGGGTGCTCATGAAGAAAAAAAGAAACGCAGGAAAAGAATGAACAAAAACCTTACCACTCAATCTTCTGAAGCTTTCTGAAATGTTTTTTTTGGAGAAGATGCTTTGTTGCTGTCCATCTTAATAGTCTTTCTTTGATTTAGGAATTCCTAAATAATTAATGTGTATGAGATTGGTCCCAAAGCAGTGAGCAATATCAAAGGAGGATCATTTGGTTGGGCTTTTGTTTTTTAAGAGGAGGAACTGGTGATTCACTGCATGTGGTTGAAAATGTAGTGTCAGCCATTTTCCTTGTTGAAAGCACCTCCACTGTGACTTGGACATTAGAGAATCATCACAGAAAAAGTATCTGTAGCTAAAGCTAAGTGAAAATGGGAACTTCGAAGAGTTTAGTTCTCCTGGGGAAATGTAGACTAAAAGTTCAAACACAGAAGCAGCTTTCCCTCATCTGAAGATAGTCACTTGGGGGGTCAAAATTTATTGGACAGGGAAATCAATCCCGCTTGCAAATAAAAGTGTATGTGCATTGCCAGCATTCTTGATACTGCAGCTAGAAGTGGTTTCCAGAAGTCAAGATCAATTGTGAGTTTTATGCTGCAAGCCTTGAAGGTAGGTGCCTGCAGAATTATACTGAGGTTGAGGTTGGGATGCAGTCTGGAAAAGGAGTGCAGTGCCATGGAGTGCAAAATAAAAACATCCAAAATCAGGTATGTATGTAAGATAGTGGTCAGCTCTTCTACATATTTAACAATATACTCATTGCAGAGTTACCAGAGGTAGCAGAAGGCAGGTGTTTCTAAAGGTAAGAAAAATAAATTACCAGGAGCTGTGCTGAGCTGTGAGATGTGGGACAGGGACTTCTGAAGTTGCTTATCAGGGCAAGAAATTTCCTTGGAAGTAAAAGGGTAGGAGTTCATTTCTTACTCCAGAACGGTAATGGACGCATCTCTGGAATGAGAGGATTTCTTTCACTTCGCTTATGTTTCATACTCAATGGAGATCATGGGAGACATTTGTTCCAAGTTTGTCACGTTGCTGCTCAGAGTGGTAGTTGTGAGACTGCACCTGGAGTCTGAGTTTTGGGCTCCCCGGCACAGGAAAGTTGTTGAGAAATTGCAGAGTCCTGTGGGGTTTGGTCACAGTGGTCGGGGGCTGGCTGGGACAGCGAGGGAGCTGGGCTCGTGCAGCCAGAAGACCGTGCTGGGTGCAGTGGGAATTTAATTGCATCTTTCAGCTTCTTGAGTTGTTGTAGAAAAGAGGGAGCCAGGCTCTTCATGGAGGTGCCCAGTGGAAGGATGAGAGGCTACAATCGCAAGTCTAGGACAACAAACTGCCTCCTGGGCAGCAGGAGAAGACATTTCATAATGAGATGGTGAAATAGCAGACCAGGTGCCCAGAGGGACCCTGGAGTCTCTGTCTTTGAAGATGTCCAAGCCTTGACTGGGCAAAGCCCCAAGCAGCCTGCTCCAACTTTTGACATTAGCCCTTCTGCGAATAGGGGGTTGGACTTGAGACCTCCAGAGGTCCCTCCCAGGCTAAATTATTTTATGATTCCAAGCTTAAGAGATGCAGCGCTTTTCCCAATTTTGACATAAGGTTAGAGGTAAATTACTGGAATTGTACAAGTCAGCCAATACAGTTCAGTGTAGAAAGCATTCAGATAAGCACAGAACGCAATGTATATTCCTGTTTGTGAAAATATACTGCTTTGGAGCTTTGCTCTGGAATTGCTGAAGGCTGGTCTTACCTTTACTTTTTGAGTACCATGAACTTGGAAATGTGGTGTGTAGTTATAAACACAGGCCTTCATTTCTGTGCCTCAAGGTTTATCAGACCTCCTTAAGGTTCATATGGTGCAACTTTTTGAGTGTTTTAGTGCCCTTGGCATTTTAGGACATGTATTAGTTGATGCAGAATGAAAAGGAGATGCTTTAAAATTACTTTTCCTTCTGCTGGCTTGAGAGAGTTATGTTACTGTTATCATCTGGCCAAGATTTTCTTGATATTTCTTCATATTGTGTCTGGAGACATCATTTCCCGTCTCTGTCTCTAAGTAATTAGGAAGGTCCCTGGCCAGTAGCATGCACTGTGTACCCCACACAGGGTTCAGAATTTTCTTCAATGAACAGTTAAAAAAGAGTGAAAGTAGAGGTTGGCGTTAGCAGAATTATGTTGCTTTGTTTTACGTTAAATGAATTTTCCGTTTACTCTTAGCTGCTGTGAATAAAAGGAAGTTGTAATGTTTCTGGAAGGCCATGGTATATGATCTTGTTTTCTTTCTTATTCTGAAGGCCTGTAAACAAGGCAAATAACAAATGAGGATCTCTGTTGTTAATAGCTGTTAAATGTGCCTTTGATTGTATAAATACAGTGCAAAATGCCTCCCTACTCATACGTGGTTTGATTAGGCTTATGGAAGGCTGGAAATACTTGTTCACCTTCATTTAGTCGTGTTACATATCTAATTAAGTGTACTGTTTGTCTTTATGGATCGTGCATATATTCCATTGCTTTAATTGGGCATAAGTAAACACGAAGTTGTGAACTGAGGGATGAGAAGATGGCCGCTCAGGCCTGTTACAGAAATGCTTAAAAACAGCCCAAAAAGAGGCATAAAATAGACCAGTGTATTTTATGTAGTGTGTGCATAAGTTACAGTATGTGGGTTTTTTTAATCCATTTCTTCTGTGGCATAGTAGTTGTAATCAAGACTACTATTGTCTATATATAGCTTTAGTTTTAATCCACAGTAAATCTTTAAAAGACCGTCATATATGTGATGCCACATAATTCCTGTTGCAGGTAAACACTCTTAAAGGATGACTGTTGCATATGACACTCAAAAGATGTTGCAGTAATTTTCTTAAGGCTGCAAGCTCAAATCCAAGAAGTTGCAAAATTCCAAAATTAAGGTGGTCTGTGAAACCGTAGTTTGAGCCCTTTGCGTATGTGCTTTGAAAGCTGTATCCATAACCAAACCTTTAAGTTATGTTATCCCATAATATTTTTCCCATGTGACTCCTTCCTTTTTGGATTAGGTTGGATGAGTTGTAGGGATAATACAGGATTATGTAGTGAGAGACTGTTGGATTTTTGCTTCAGTTTTTGCCAGCAAGGAAGCCTTACCTTGAATGGATCTAGGGATTTGGGAGAACAGAGAAATATTAATGGGGAAGATCTTCTTAAGACATGGCAAAAGGCTATCCCTGATTCAAGACCTAAGCTCTGAGACATTTCAGGTTCCTACTGCAAAGTAACAGAAACCCCGCAGAAAAAAATGGCTGTTGTTTATTTAACTTGAGGGAGGGAGAAAATTTGTCTTAAGACTTAACCAAAGACTTCAGCTGAAATTTTCTAATCTAATTCAACCTGAGGCAGGCAGAGGTATGGACAATTGAAGTCTGGAGCGTTAAATTGGTAAAATTATACACAACTGAAAGCAGGAAGCTGAGTGGTGCTGCTTGGAATGGATGCAAGAACAAAGCAAGGGATGTAGCAAAATGCAATGTTTTTTAACGCTAGCTCATTTTCAAGGATTCTGTCTGAAGCTATGCAAAATGAACTGTTTGCTACAGGGAATGGCCTAAAACATGCTTTTTAAGATGTGGTCCTGGAAGCTAGGGAAGTTAGTTTCAAATTTCCTCGGTCTCTCCCTTTCTGGATGAATTCATCACTGAACTAATAGCTAAAATGACCCTTTCTCTGGCTGTGTCCTTTTGAAGGAAAAGTCCCCAAAGTTTTTGAAAAGAGGCAGCGTGACAGTTTAGGTCCTAGAAGAAATCTGATGATCTGAGTCTTTCAATAGTAGGAATTTATGTGTTTGCAGTGCAGAAGTCAGATGCCTAAATCCCGGAGGAAGGCAAGGGATGCTCCTTCTCGCGCACGTTTCGGTGACGGGCTCAGGCAACTTCCCAGGTATCTGCTTCCACCCATACATTAAGTCAGGGCATCGGCTGGCAACCTCTCAGAGGCTCAGGAAGGGATAAAAAGCATTTGCGAGTGCAGCGCTGCCAACAGAAACCCAGCAGGAGCCAAGACGTGGTGCGGCAAGGATCCTCGCTCCCCCAGTGTGGGAAACCAGTGGGAGCAGTGGGACACAGGCTGCCTTCAGGGCCACGGTTTGTGCTCCCACCGCGTATCCCCCTCCCAGCTGGAGGACAGAAACTGCATCCCCCGTGGCGAGCTGCCCTGCTTATCCATCCCTTCCCCTAGCGAGAAGAGGGATGGTGGCT